GCACGTTTCTAAGGCCTCTCTCAACCAAGGCAGAGAAGAGTCAGCGAAGCTGGATAGAGCGACAGTTGCAGACATCGTGAAGCGTGAATACCATGGTTGGGCCGATGACCAGATGTTGCTGCTCCTGGAAGATGACAGAACGTCCAAAGGATCGGTCGATCCGGACTCTCGCTGATGGTGGCGCGCAAGGACACCAGTGTAAAACGCAATCAAAGAGAAGAAGAGTGAAACTCTCATATTATTGATAGATAAAAGAACGATAACGTAAGCCATCCGCATCCCCTATCTGTAGAACCCACAGTATCTTCTCAATGAAACTACCATGAGAGAGTGACTTTCTGGAAGTCAGACTTACTCAAGAGGGTCCGGACAGTTTCTTGGATCATCTCTCCAAGTCGCGTCTGCATTCCGGTCCTATCATGGTTGGTATCGGCGATAGGCGTCGACGAGACTTGCTGCCCTCCAACCCTGGACTCTGCTCCTGTCGCCTCAGCCATGCAGGGTCGGCGCCAACGCCATTCCAATCGGCAGCTATATTCAGTGAGAATTGAAATTTGAACAACCCACTCGATCGAACAACGCAGTGTTGACAAGTGCATGAAATGCATCTTTCTAAGATCGACGGATCCCTGTAGTTGACACTTTGGAACATCAATTTCACCTTGGCAGGGCCTCAGGATGCAATTCTGTGCGGAATTGTGCTAACCTTCAAAAATGGACTGTCGGGCTGCACAGTGTGAATCTGCATCATGAAAACTGCAACTCGACATCCATGTCTTTACTCGCGAAATTCAATTCTCGCAATTTGGATTTGATTGACGTCTCCATCCGTGAATGTGATTTCATAGCTCGCCAAATTGGTGGCTATAACCGCCAGATAGATTCCCGAAAGATACAGCATCATTATGTCGGGATGAGTCAATTGGTCCGCTATCGGCGACATCAATCAACCGAAAACACGGGATACGGCAAAATTATCTCCCTCCCCCTCAGCTCCGATGGCGTGTTGTCGGCGTTGGACTTTAGACTCACACACACATTCACATAGCATTCCTTCATGCCTCACTATTCTTAATTCGATTTAGTTAACTGTGTAAGTAAAGTCAACTGATGGAGTTGGCGGCATCAGCCGCCAGCGACACACCAGCGTTCCAGGCCATCAGTCGTATAGTTTCGAATACCCTCGAACCAGCAGATCTGAGTAGCCTTGGGATTCCACACCGTCTTGGAAGAGTCTGTTAGTAGTGCACTCCTCTTTATATCGTTACCGTTTCCTTTCGTGTCCACCCATCACTGCAGCAGAAACGCAACACACAATCTCTTTGGTTAAAACTGAAACGGTTATCGGAAGTAGGCGTGAATCAAAGAACAGCATGACCCCTTTCACAACAGCATGAGACTATCACAACGTTAAAACTCGACGACGATCACCCGACTCGGACTGCTTCCATCAACCGGCGTTTCTCTGGTGCCTGAAATTGACTAGTGTCCAAGACACTCAAACTGAGGGCCGACCCACCGGTGGCGCTGGTCGTGCAGGAGCTGACACTTTTGATGACTCTGCCGTGTCCAGTTCAAAGAGATCGGCCCTATGCTTCTGGTACCTGTATAATAACGATAGAAACGACTAGCCCCTCGAGCTACGTACTCATCGTAGGTGTAAAGATCAAAATTCCGATGGTCTCGGTCCATCATGTCGTAGATCTGCCGTATACTCTCCGCATCCTCGTCATTCCTCGCCATCACCCAGCATGAGCCGACCGGAGATGCATGACCAGCTGATGGCTGTATAAAGGCTATGTTCACCCACACAGGGGACCACACCTACAGCAGGCCGACACTGACTCACGAGCAGCAACTCGTCGATACCTTCATGACTTCCCACTTGGTCCAGGACGTCGGGAAATTGGTCATATAAAAATGTCGTTGCATGTCGGTTTCGTCCCTCCCTGCAATGTTGAGGACACTAGGCTGAGACTTCACCAGGCGAACCTGCACACAAGATGCTCGTCGACCTACACTCGAGCCGTGGCGAATCATACTCGATTTATAGACGTCGGTAAGAGCTGCGAAATCGAGAGGGCCTTCTTGCTCATAGCAGTGGTGCTCACGTCCTTGAACGCCAGCTGATAGGAATGATCATTCATCCCAGCTAACGACTCTCAACTGACCTGCTGGTACATGTCGATACCCTTCCTCGAGCAAATCTCCGACAACTGCAATAGACACACCAACGCGGTCATCATGGCATCGTATCTGCCTCAAGCTTGCACTCGGCCTGTGGCCAGCAGTAGCAGCCTACCCCGCGTCATGGGACATGTCCACCGCCGGTTTCTCCGATAGGCTTATCGTGCTCTCTCCGTCACTCGACTGCTCCGCGTCGCTTCCCTCCTTATGAAAGAGCCTCCTCGCCGCATGAGGCGGCCTAAGACCATAGACGCTTCACAACGCACACGTCCAACAGGTCTCACTGTATTGAAGTGCTGTCTGCTTCCCCATCACTGACCAGATTAACCAATTCTAATCGCAATAGATGCCCTAATGAAGTCTCGTCACCTACGCGAACTCCTACGACAGTCCTCAACAACATACCCATCCACGACATACCATGCTCCTGCACGTGTCGATGTGCCATGAAGTCACACAGTCCCTTCAGTGTTGCAGGCGGGTTGAGTGGCGATAAGAACTCATGCGTCTACCACCGTACATCACATTCACAAGCCCTAGCTAGGATGGGCTACCTCAGCAATGTACTT